CCCCCCCCAGCATGTGGGGAAGCCTCTGGGGGGGTGGGCCCCCCCCCCTAGCATGTGGTGTGCAGAGAAGCGCGCCCCCCCCCCTGGAAGCGATATCCGCCTGCTCTCATCGGCGGCGTCGCTGCGGCCACGCTCTCCCTGCTCTGCTGCGCGCTCTGCCTCGTCCTCTACTTCATCGTCGCCGGCAGGCGCCCTTGGTCTTCCTCCAGGAGCAGGAGCAGGAGCAGGAGCAGGAGCAGGAGCAGGAGCAGAGTCGCCTGGAGGCGCACCTCGCGCCGGTCCGTCACTTCCGAGTCCTCGGCCACGCACGCGTTGAGGGCCTGAGGCCATCAAAACACGAGCAGTGGAACCCGAGGCCGCAGTGGAACCCGAGGCCGCCACCGCCCTCACCGCCACCGCCGTCGCCGCCACCACCGAGCCCACCCCCGTCGCCTCCCCCGCCCTCACCGCCGCCCTCGCCGCCGCCCTCGCCCCCTGCAATCCCAAAGGAAAAAGGAATTCCACCCGGGGCACCGCCCCCTCCTGCAATTCCTCCGACGGCCCCCCCTGCAACCCCACCGGACGACTGCGTCTTCTGCGGCGCCGCCATCGCCTTCATCGTCATCCGCGCCCTAGTGGTCATGCTGGCCGCAGCCTTCGCCACCGGCCTCGCCCTCGCCTACCGCGCGCAGTGCCGCGCCTGTGAGGCGCGCATGCCGCACCCCCGCCCCCCTCGCCCAGAGATAAAGAAATCCAGGCTAGCGCTGCGAATTGTGCGCAGGCCGTGATAGTCTTAGTCGTGTATCGCGCGCCCTGCGGGTGGGGCGCGGAAAAGAGGAACCTCTTAGCGCCATCATGGTGCTGCAAGCAGCGCCGGGCGACCGTGCCCAGTGTCGTGCGAGAGAGTTTTGTTGTAAACTTCTTTGTTGTCCATGCCGGCATGTTGAAGTTGGGCCCTTCAGATTTTTTCAGTGTATGTGGCTCTTACGTACATCCCGGAGGGAGGAGGAATCTGCTGACAGGGTTTGCGATGAGGAATTCTTTTCTGTTCAAAAAATGCCAATAGCGCTCTGTTTGCCTGTAGCCGGCCGCCTCACTCAACACAGAAAAAGAAGCGAAATTCAATGTCGGCGGTTCCTGGCGAGATTCTGCAATGTCAGCGACGCAAAGCCAGCAGGCTCCTGGCGGCCCGTCAAACGCCCGCCGCAAATTGATCATCGTCGCTGCGTTTGCCGCTAGCGTGTCGGCGAGCCCTCCGTCGCCACCCAGCGCACCTGCTTGCAACTTTGTTGCCGACGTGGTTCTCGTGTTGGATAGCAGCGGCAGCATCGACGAATCTTCAAGTCGACCAGGGGTCGCAAAGTTCGCAACGGATATCATAAACGACTTGGCGGTCGACGAGAATTTCGTGCACGTCGGCATTGTGGAGTTCGCTTCAAATACATACGTGTGCAGCAATCTCACGTACGACGACAACACACTTGCATCTGCCATTAATGATACATACAAGGCGAACATCAAACCCGATCCTGGGGACCGAGCAGCGAAAACATTTATTTCCAACGCGCTCCTCCTCGGAGAGCAGCTGCTGACTCGTACCGGCCGAACTGAAGCCACGAAGATCATGCTCCTCCTGACCGATGGGGAGCAGACCTGCAGTCGCAACTACCCGGACACCGGAGATAGCTGCCCGGCTGATGGAGAGAGCTACATCGAGAATTGCTATGTCGACTGGGACTTTGGCAACTCGACCCATACACCGAGTGGGAGCCCTCTCGGCCCTTACATAGGCGACTTGCCTAGGATGTGCGGCTCGGAGGCGGAGAACACGAACAACTATCAATACAGAAAGCCAGAGGCGATATGGCAGGCGGAGCTGATCAAGAACCGGAACCCGGAGCTCGTCCTCTTTGCAGTCGGCTTCGGAGCGGTGAGCCACGAAACGCTAGGCAACATAGCAACGCCCGGCTACAGCTTCAAGGGCACCGACATTCAAGCCGTCACCGCCGAGTTTCAGAAGAATAGCTACTTCTCGTGCCCACCGCCGTCGCACCCGCCGCCGCCGTCCCCGCCGCCACCTTCCCCTCCTCCCCCGTCGCCGCCGCCCCCGTCTCCGCCTCCACCTTTGCCGCCTCCGCCCTCTCCGCCACCCCCGTCCCCGCCTCCGCCCTCGCCTCCGCCGCCCTCGCCGCCGCCGCCGTCGCCGCCTCCACCCTCCCCACCGCCGCCGTCGCCGCCTCCACCCTCCCCTCCTCCCCCGTCCCCGCCGCCGCCGTTCCCGCCGCCGCCGTCCCCTCCTCCTCCGTCGCCGCCGCCGCCGAGCCCGCCTCCGCCGTCACCACCTCCGCCATCCCCGCCGCCACCCTCCCCGCCTCCTCCATCGCCTCCACCGCCCAGCCCGCCACCACCGTCGCCCCCGCCACCCTCCCCTCCTCCTCCGTCTCCGCCGCCCCCGAGCCCGCCGCCGCCCTCACCTCCACCGCCATCCCCGCCGCCTCCGTCTCCACCTCCGCCCTCTCCTCCTCCGCCCTCGCCCCCTCCGCCTTCGCCGCCTCCGCCAAGCCCGCCGCCTCCCTCGCCGCCCCCGCCG